TTACAAATTAGGTTAAATAAACAAATTCCTTGAAAGACCCAAATTACCAAAGCTGGAACCAGAAGAAAGAGAAAAATCTGAATGGCCCTGTAGGTACTGAGGAAATTGAATTTCCAATTAAAAACCTTCCCACAAAGAAAACAAAACTCCAGACCCAGATTGTTTTACTGATGAATTCTAACAAATGTTTAAGGAAGAGAGTGTACCAATGCTACTCAAACCATTTCAGAAAGCAGGAGGCAGGGACTCGTCCCTGAACTCATGTTCTGGATCCAGAATTAGTAATTGTGGTAATTTGGGGAAAAACTGTATTGCCGAAGAAACTGCAACCCTAGTTTGCCCAAACCCGTGGCCTTTTGACTCCGAAAGTCTCCCCACAAAAGCCAGCGGGCATTCAATCCCACAGAGAGAGCTGCTGGGCCTCCAGGAAGAGCGCCTTCCACTGGCCTCCTCAGCGGGGACATGAGGCGTGACAGACAACATCCCCGGAGACAGAGCCAGGAGCTGTCAAAACAAGGAACTTCCTGGCCTGCCAGAGAAGGGATCTTCACTGTTCTCGCTTGACCACGGGCCGGGAGGAGACTGCTCCGCGTCCCTGAGCCGCCTCTTCTGGGTGGGGGGTTTTACTGTCTTGATCCTCTTCTTACTCTCCTATTGTAGGTTTGGGACAACAAACATTTTCCGTCTACAAGTCACTGAACATACAAACTGTTGTACACGGACTATGTTAGGGGATGAGAAACATCTTTTCATGTTTACATTGCAGGACCACGAGGACGGACCTTTTGGAACAGATGGCATGTAGCTCAGAGAACCTAAACTGGAAGCTGAATGCAACGTTCACAACGGTCCTTTTGAGGATAAGGGGCGTGCGCTCCATATGCAGGATAGAGGGTGCATGGAGGTACGGACTGTCAAGGCAGTGGACGAGGCCGGAAACTGCTCTTGTCTCCCAGTATCTATTCTCCTGTTCCCCCATCATTTTAGAAACCCTGATTTTAATCGGCCAGTTAGCCCTCTACAGTAAACACATTCGTTCATCTCTCCTGCAGCTGGTAGCACGTGCCAGCTCCCGGTACATCCTCCCCTTACAAGACTGCTGGCACAGGCACTGGATAGTCTTTTTCAGCCGGTCCTTACCCTTGCTGGCGAAAACCTGGAAGCCCTTGTCGGAGCAGTCATCTGGGATGCTGAGGTAGCCCTAGGACACAGAGACAGAAAAAGATAAAGGAAATCTGGACCCATAAGGACGTCATGTAATACAGCCACCGTTCGGTCGCGAGACTGGCTACCTCTAAACCTTTACACGAGGTAAATAGTCTTATCTCGTGCAAACTGCATCAGACGGCACAGGTGGCGCACTGGGCAATTTCAGTGAGCTCACTTAGTGCATTCCCTGTGTTCAACCACACGCAGCATCACTAAAATTTCCCTTTTAAATAAGTCACTGTTATTATGGCTCTTTGTGATTCATGGCCAAAGATTATCCTAAATGCTACAGAGAATAGAGAGGAATAACCAAAATAAGGTCTGTGGATTCCTGGAGTCTCCAAAGGTCAGCGAGGTCAAAATTATTTGTATAGTACGAAGATGCTATTTGTTCTCCATTGCGTGTCGATGGGCGAAAGCAGTGTGGGCCAAACTGCAGGTTCCATGGCGCAAATCGAGGCTGTGGCACCAAACTAACAGTCATGTCGATTCCTTACTGCCTGGGGGAGGAAGCAGCTTCATTTAAGGATAAAATACTTTTTATTTAAGAAAAAATGAAAATTATTAATTTTATTAAGTTCAATGCTTAATACTTAATATTCAGGGTGATGACATAAAGCACTGCAGACCAAAATACAATAGGTGTCACAACTAATTACACAATTGTTTAAGTTGGCAGCTGAACTAGCCACTTTTTTTCATGAAACACTATTTTTACTTGAAAGAAAATTGACAAACTATGGTTATTCTGACCAGGGTATTTGGCAGAAAATTTCGTTACTTCAAAGAAAACAGCTAATAGTATTTGTTGCTGATAACATTTAAGCTTTGAAGCAAAAATCAGAATTTTGGAAAACCGGAGCTCGGCGCTGTGAGCTTAAAAGTTTCCCAGTATTTAAATATGTTTCTGATGAGGTTGCCGGTGATATAATCAAGTGTGATTTTTTTGATATTATATAATAAAGTGTATCAAAATTCAGAAGATCTACATCACTCAGTGAACCAATATTTTCCGAGTGACTGATGAATGCATAACATTTCAGAATTTTTCACGAGCAGAAGACCCCTTCGCCATGTAAGGGACATCAATGGATTTTAATATAACAAGACACAGAGGGTCCTTGATATGGTTTCAGATTCTAAATTGCAACTAATTGGTAAGAAACTACTTCTTGTCCAGTCTTGGAGGAGTGTCAGCGAAGATCCACAATTATCTGAAAAAACTATTGAAATGTTTCCAACTACAAATATATGTGAGGCTGGATTTTCTTCATATATATCAACCGAAACAACATACTGCAAGAGACTGAGTGCAGCAGTAGGTATGGAGGACCAGCTACCTTCATCTAAGTCAGACATTAAAGAAACCCGCTAAAAAATGTAAAGACAATGCCACTATTCTCATGAAGTTTTTATTTTATGAAATAGTTATTGTTATAAAACATAAGTTATGTCAACGTGTAAAAATGGTCCCTAAAAGATATCAGGTCCTGATACCTGCACCCTAGAAACGTGACCCTATTTGGAAAAAGGCTCTTTGTAGAAGTGATTAAGTAAAGGATTCTGTGATGAGATCATCCTGGATTTTCCAGGTTGACCCTAAATGTTGACCATGGAGGCAGAGACGGGAGGGAGGCAGCACATGCTAAGGAATGGCTGCAGCCACTAGAAGCTGGAAGAGGCAGGAAAAAGTCCCCTCGAGCCTCAAAGGGAGGGCAGCCATGTTGACACCCTGACTTCAGCCTAGTGATACTGATCTCAGACTCCTGGCTCCAGAACCGTGAGCGAATCAATGTCTGCTGGTTTAAGTCACCAAGGCGTGGCCCTTGTCACAGTGGCAGTAGGAAGCTAACAGTGACCCAAGACTTCGACCTAACCCGGTTGTCATTCAGTCACAGCATACAGATGCTGACTGAAGTCATGGGCACAAATGAGGCCACTCAGGGTTCACAACCCTCACACACCCAACACTTACCAAATGCTGACACCCCTTCGCTGTCCCAAAAAGAAATTCACCACATAATCTACCTCACCCTCCTCTAAATTAACACAATGAGCTAATGGAGGGAAACACGGAGAAGACTGGCAGCCAGGCCACAAACACAATTCCACTCCAGCAGCCCCACTTCGACAGCGCAAGCCACCAACGCCAAGGACAGAAGCTGGCTCACAGCCACCCACACACTTTGTTCAGGACCCCCTCTGCAGTGCGTGTCAACATGAGGTCTCGGTGGATCACACTGTGACATAGCAGGAGAGTTAAAACAGTCTTGAAGCAAGACAATGAATGTTTGGCTGTCCTTCCCATGTAAATGCGAACTGATTTTGGAAATTTACCCTTGAAAAGCGTGTTCACCACATCAATAATTGCATGATCAAGTGCCAGACACGCATTAACCGGTTTCAGCAAAGATGTCTCATCTGACCTGGCTGTTGTGACCGGGAATACTCCTTGGCTGTTTGGTGGTCAGCCATCATTTACTTGACTCCATCTGGATTCTGCAGGGTTCATTCAGGTGAACTGAAGTGGATGTCCTGGGGACCTTCTCTCTCACTGCCATGATTCTTCTTTCATAGGCCACCGACCCCTGTGCAGACTTTGCCCACAGCGAGCTGTCATCACCCCAAGTGTGCACTGGGGCCACAGAAGTAAGTGCAGGGCTTTCTCACCTGACTGAGCCCTCACTCTAACCAGTGGCTCATGATGCTTCAGGTACCCGGCACAGCGTTTACTCAGACCCTGTACCTAACAGCCCCTGAATGGTCTGGATAGTTCCCTTTCCAAAGTATATCAGTTACTTTGATAAGCAGCTCTAGGTCCCTTTGGGAAAGTGTTGGAAGAATATTTTTGGAGATATTTACGGGGACATGGTAGGGTCCTTCCTCCAAGGGACCAAGCCTCCCTTTCAACCAGTGAGCTGTGGGTCTCAGCACTGGCTCAGATTTAAAGACACAAGGGTCAGGGCCCCACCATGAGAGCCGATGGTTGCCTTCCGGTCACCAATTCTTGACTTCTTTCCGGTTATTCAGATCAAAGACTACCACGGTCCTTAGGCACTGCCACAAGCACATGTAGGTCAGGTCATCTTGGTTGCCACTTCAGCCTGGGACAGCAGCAGAAATGCAGGAGGCATTCCTTAAGGTGGGACCCAACCACGTGCGGAGGTGGGCCAAGGACAGTGATGCTGCCCCAGGTGTCTGCTCCAAGGTGCGAGCCCTTCCTCCCGGGTTGGGTGTTGCAGTGGTTCCGGGTCTGGAGACAGGATGGTGGTGGAGCGGAGAACGGAGACGTCAGTTTCAAGCAGGGCGACAACAGCCTCCTCTCAGAGGTGCACGCCAACTGACAGGGAGTCTCTGCTGCGATTAGGAATTCAAAATACTTAGCGTCACTGGAATTATGGAATTATCCCAAAGGTCCCAATCTTTCATTCACAGTAGGTGTTGATTCGGCACCTACTAAGTGCCGCACGCTCGCCACCTCCCTCAGGTGCGACCCACGCGCCGTGACTCTCTTCCTTGCCGACTGCCCCAGTGAGGGGCTCCCGCCCTGGTGAAGGCCCATCTTCGCGGACCGGCGCCCTCCCCGGGACACCCGCCCCCGAGCACTCTGGCCACCCGGATCCCGCGGAGCCGCCAGCTTGCGCGCGCCCGGGACGCGCCCCCGCCCACGTGACGCCCGCGCCGCCCAGCCGCTCACGGCGCTTCTGATTGGCCCACGTCGTTCCCTCCTCCCGGTCCGGCCCCGCCCAGAGGGCACGGCGCAGACGCGCTGGCGTTGGCCTCCCTGGGTCACAGAGAGAGCCGAGCTGCGCCGCGCAGGGCCGAACAGAGCCGGAGAGACTCGAGTGCGACCGGAGAAGCGCCGGCGGCCGGAAGCGGAGCCGAGCGCAGCCGGAAGGAACCGAGCCCCTCCGAACGGGCTGCGCGCGCAGGGCGTTGGGCTGCGCGCAGCCCGCGCGATGGCGGCGGAGGGCACGTCTCCGGGCGAAGATGGGGCTGTCGGCGGCCGTTCGGCTCAGGACAGCTTGCGGCAGTCTAAGTGCCCGGCCGCGGCCCCGAACCGGCGGCGCGGCTCGGCACAGTCGCGTGACGCCGAGCGCCGAGCCCACCAGTGGTGCCGGGAGTACCTGGGCGGGGCCTGGCGCAGAGCGCGGCCGGAGGAGCTGAGGGTTCACCCCGTGAGGTGGGAGGGCAGGGGCAGGCGCTCCGGTGCGCGGGACGGGGTCGGGGTGGGATGGCCCTCCGGACACTCAGCGCGGCCTGGCACCGGGCCGGGGTTTCGGACGGCGGGCTGAGCGCGCCCTCGTGTGGGTCTGCAGCGGAGGCCTCAGCAACCTGCTCTTCCGCTGCTCGCTGCCGGACCACCTGCCCAGCGTGGGCGAGGAGCCCCGGGAGGTGCTGCTGCGGCTGTACGGGGCCATCCTGCAGGTGAGGAGGGAGCGAGGGTGCAGTAGCCGGTGGCTCTAGGACTTGTCACTTAGGTGTAGCAGGTGGTTCTGGCCCCGAAGTACTTGAGGACGCTGAGGCTTAGGAGCAAGTCACTTGTCTGTTATTCCATGAAAGCTTGTGCTCTGGAGCCTCCAGACTATAGAACAGGAAGTCCCAGCTGTGATGGCAGGACAAAGCCTTCCGTGCGTTGGCGCCGCGTTGCCTCTGGCCTCGTGGCCCCTGCCCTTTGCCGTCCTTCTTCCTTCAGGGCGTGGACTCCTTGGTCCTGGAAAGTGTGATGTTCGCCATCCTTGCGGAGCGGGCCCTGGGGCCTCAGCTCTACGGAGTCTTCCCAGAGGGCCGACTGGAACAGTACATCCCAGTGAGCCCAGCCCTGCCCTGCCCGAGGCACCTCCTTCCCCCAGCCCCTCCCTGCTCCCAGTGTCTGCCCCACATCCCTCACCCCAGGTAGGGAATTTCCCCTATCCCTTCCCCTGCCTGCCCCAGCCCCCTCACCACCCTGATAGGTTCCTGGGTGCAGAGCAGGCCACTGAAAACGCGAGAGCTTAGAGAGCCCGTGCTGTCGGCAGCCATCGCCACGAAGATGGCCCAGTTCCACGGCATGGAGATGCCTTTCACTAAGGAGCCCCACTGGCTGTTTGGGACCATGGAGCGGTGAGTTTGGGGTCCCCTTGGGGTTCCTGCACACCGCACTAAGCCCTCATGCTGGCATTTACTACTGGGCTGTGACTGTGTCCATGACTGTCCATCTGAGCAGTTGAGTGGTGGATCAGGTGTCCCAGCGGCTAGCGTTGCCTCTCACAGGACAGGCTTCCAAACATGTGCCAGGCAGGTCATACAATGACAGAAAACCGGGGGCAGAGAGGACAGGGGTGCACAGGGCTGGCAGAATGAGTATGTCCTACTCTCTGGACTTCAGGTATCTAAAGCAGATTCTGGACCTGCCCGCGCCAGGCCTCCCGCAGATGAACCTGCTGGAGACGTACAGCCTGAAGGATGAGATGGGCAGCCTCCGGTGAGCGCGGGCAAGACAGGGTGCACAGGAGGTGCTGCCAGGAGCGCACGGCGTCCTCCCCAGGGCTTGCGGACTTGCCGAGCAGCTCCGACCTTCCCCTGGTCACTCCTGCCCATGTCCCCCCTGCAGGAGGTTGCTAGAGTCCACCCCCTCACCAGTGGTCTTCTGCCACAATGACATCCAGGAAGGTAGGAGAAGTCATGCATGTCTCTCGGCCTAAAGTGAGGGGCAAGAGGGCCCTCGAGTGACCAGACCTCACCACATTCCCCCAGGGAACATCTTGTTGCTCTCAGAGCCAGAAAATGCTGACAGCCTCATGTTGGTCGACTTCGAGTACAGCAGTTACAACTACAGGTGCGGGTGGGGGGCCGCCCCCCATGGAAACGGACCAGGCCTTCATCTCTGCCTCCTGCCGCCCAGGAGATTTGGGCACCGAGCGGCTGCCTTCTTCCCCTAGGGGCTTTGACATTGGGAACCATTTTTGCGAGTGGGTTTATAATTACACTCATGAGGAGTGGCCTTTCTACAAAGCGCAGCCAGCAGACTACCCGACTCGGGGACAGCAGGTATGTGGGCCAGAGGCCGGGGAGCGGGACCTGGCCTGTGAGGGAGGAGGAAGGTGAACTCTGGAAGGAACGGTGAGAAGGGGTGTTAACGGAAATGCCCCAGAGTCCCCTGTTGACTCTCATCTGTTGATCTCAGCTCCATTTTATTCGCCATTACCTGGCAGAAGTAAAGAAAGGTGAGATCGTCTCCCAGGAGGAGCAGAGGAACCTGGAAGAAGACTTGTTGGTCGAGGTTAATCGGTGAGGAAAGATGGCTGGGGCGGGCTGGAGCAGGGTGCAGGAGAGAGGCTGAGGGAAGGGCAGACAGATGCCAGTGTGCAGTGAGGATTGGGGGTGGGGACGAGGGCTGAGGCTGCCAGGGACTGCTTGACAGTGGGAAGAAAGATCGGGTCAGAGTGGGGTCAGGCGGACAGGGGAGAAGCTAGAGCTTCGGGGTCTGGGCGAGGCCAGGTATGCTCTGAATCCCCCTGCTCGCCCTACCCCTCAGGTATGCTCTGGCATCCCATTTCTTCTGGGGTCTGTGGTCCATTCTCCAGGCATCCATGTCCACCATAGAATTTGGTTACTTGGTGAGTAACCCAGATAGGTGAGTTAGGGGGCGGCGGGGGCGTAGCAGAGGCCTCGTGTCCACCAGTAAATCTGTGGGCAGTCCCGTGAGGCCGCGGGCAGACTGAGGGGCCTGTGGGTACTAGTCCCAAACCTTCTCACCAGCATGGGGTGGCTTTCCTCCCCAGGAGTACGCCCAGTCTCGGTTCCAGCTCTACTTCCAGCAGAAGGGGCAGCTGACCGGCTTCCACCCCGCATCCTGACTCTCCACCGCCAACTCCTCGGGTCTTCCGGGAGCCTCCAGGGCAGGACCTTGGAGTGCAGGGCAACGAGCAGAAGGCCCTGGGGCCTGGGCTGAGCCCCCAGTGACATGGGTGGAGGAGACTGACCTCTCCCTGGCGAGCGGTGGGAGCCCTTTGGCTGTGTACCTTAAGACAATAAACGAGCTTCTTTCACACCTGTTCTAGTCCTGCTTGCTGCAGCAGAAAGTGCCAACCGAGAATGCAGGCAGACTGACAAAGTGACCACGGCTCCGAGCCTGTTTCCCCCCCGAAAAGCATGGTTTTTCAGTGCTCTGGGTTTGAGTGGTTAAAGGGTCCATTCTGCCAGTCAGAGCCTCCTGCCCTCCCCACTCCCTGGCTCCAGCTTAGATGTGATAAAAACTAGGTCTGGTGGCAGACTGAGGAGTAATGGGGTATGAAGACGGCCCTGGGAGGGGAACTGGCCACTCCGTGCACTGGGGATCCGGACAGGCAGCACAGCTGACACACCGATGACCTTTTCCCTA